GTTAAGAAGGCTCTTTTTTTTTTTTTTATTTTGCTCCGGGGGGCTAGCTTTTATACACCGGTATCAAATGGAAGAGGAGGAAGCAGAAGGGGGCTGTTAGTCATCTCAGGTTCCAAGGACCAGTTAGGGTGTTTTTTTTAGGGGCCCACCCCAAGGTTTCAGAAAACAAAGGAACATCTTGCCTCAGTAAACCTGTTTTTCTTTTCCTGCAGTTACAGCTGCCTGCCCTGAGGGCAGTAGGGGGAAGTGAGCACTTAGCCACCAAAACCCCTCATTCTTTCTTCAGAGAATGAGATGTCATTCTTCCCATTCAACTGAAGAAATCAAAGGAAAACCTAGACCACTTGATACTCCTGCAGTCTTGCCCTCCCCTGCTGGTCCTGAACAGGATGACTCTCATCCTCTCTATAAACCCTGACTCTAGAGATGAACAGGGAACTCCTCTCTGATGGGGGCTAGCAGAACTGCTAAAGGCCCTGCTGCCTCACCTTCCCTTAGACCCTCTGTTCCCTCCCAGAGCACCTCTTCCTTCCCATCTCCATTAGCTGAGTGCACTCCATACTCCCTCAGGAAGTATGATTTGTGACCTCCATTTCTCTCCCTCTCTGCTGCCCCACCCTGCAGTCAGTCAACAGGGACCCTGAGGGAGGGAGTGAAAATAAAGGGACAAGAGACATGAGAGATGGAGACAAGACAGTATTCTGATCAAATCTTGTTTAAATAGTGGACAAATGAGTGAGTGGGGCAAAGGGAAGATAAGGGAGGCAGGACGTTCTTGTAAGCAGAAGGCAGGTATTCTGCTATAATATATATTGTTATATGATAAGCCTGCAGCTGGGACTCTTCCAGGGTCAGGCTGTGTAATTTGCTTAACAGAAAAACAGTCATAGGGGATTGGAAAATTACCAGTATGTTAGTATCAAAAAGAGTAGTAGGAAAGATGGCTGTTAAGATACTAACTTTGCTCTGAAGTTCCCCACACTCTTCACCATGGGGCCACCTGATGTGGAGGCCAACTGTCCCCTAACCTACTTTCCCTTTGCCACCTGTATAACTGGAAACTCCAAACTCCCTCTTTTTCTGAGAAGCCACAACCACTAATAACATTTCTTCATACTGTATTGTTCATCCATCAGCCCACTGGGGAGGATTATCAACAGCTCCCACAGGTTCTACTGCAAAGAGAGAGAATCTGGAGAGAATGCTGCAATTTGGTTCCAAGGCAAGATAGTCACCCCACAGATGGCAAGTATTAATGCTGAAAGACCCCCACTATGCATATTGCCTGTTTGAGCTGCTCTTGCCAACTTGCCAAGGTCAAGTTATGGGAAAGTACAGGAGGGAACCAGGTGTTGCTCTCATCTGACGCCAACCAGATATCTGTGGTCTGCAGCTTGGACCAAAGCAAGGTCAGCAGGACAATATCCTGGAACAGAAGGTCCTGGAAACATTCTATCAAGACCACCAGAATGCTGAGATAGTCATAACTGAATTCTTTGTGCCCAACCTGAATAAACAACTCTGTCCTTGGTTAACCACAATCGCTTTATTTAGATGGAACAATGAAATCCCTGTAACCATGCTTCTGCTTCTATAAGCCTACTTCTTGCCACCCCAACCCTATATAAACTGCATATGTTTTAACCACGGCATGCTCAGTCTCCCGAAAGACTGAAGCATCCACAGGTACCTGTGTGAGCAACAAACAACCTCTTGCACTTGCATCCAGTGGTCTGGTCTCGTCTCTTAGGGCAAGGGCCTTTCCCTGACAGACTACGAACTCTTGGGGTCTTTCATTACTTCCCAGCTTGATGAGGGATGGAGTATACCCATCTGAAAGTAGGGAAAAGCTTATGGGAGGGGAGGTCTCCCAGAAACTGCTAGACAGCCCACAAATTTGTCTAAAGTGAGTCAGGTGGTACAGGGAAAGAATAAACCACCAGAACCATTTCTTGAATGCCTGATGGATGCCTATTATACTTACATGCCATTGGATCCTGAGGCACCAGAACATCAGATGGCAACCAATCTGGCCTTCATTAACCAAGCAGCTCCAGATATTAAAAGAAGACTTCAGCAGTTCAATGGATTTGAAGGTAAAAAACTGTCTGGATTTCTGGCTATATGCTAAAAGCCATTATCGTTTATTATAGCAGATTGTGATTAATATTCAAGGTATTGAAAGACCCACAGAGCGTGGACCCTCATGCCCCGACTCAGGAAAGGTGCCCCCCACAAATCACTCACAAGAAGCGGTCTTGATGTGAGAGCATGAAGTCTTTTATATTCCAAGTGCACTGGGGTCCACAGTCATATGCCATGCAAGGGTAGAGGACCGAGGACCATGAGTACAGAATTGAGGCAGTTTTTATAGGATAAAGCCCACACATCATAAACTAATCATCTCATAGAATCCACAGCCTGTTCGGTGTGGACCAATTAATTTAAACCATCCAAGCCCACACTTTATAGACCAATCAGTTTTCTATAGCCTGGGCTCCTGGGTGGGGTGACAAAGCTCATTTCCTGTACTCACGTACTCATAGGCCCTGTCATAAACAGTAAAGAATGTGACCTTTTGCCTATTTACTGGCTGAGGGCAGAGTCTGAAATTTAAGGCTTAAATTTCTAGCTTTCTGGGGTCATTGGAGAGTTAGGCTGTATTTTCCCATCCTTACAATATCAACCCACCAGAAATATCTTCTAATGGAGGAAATTCATATTATTGAAAAGTCTGAGAGAAATATATACTCCAGAATATTTTTGCTTCTGTCTATAATTTTAGATGTGCTAAATTGCATTCTTTCCCAAGTGGCTATGGGAAATTCCCCACAGCCTGTATCTAGTGTGTATCTCATGATTACTATGCTGATCTACTGGGCATTTTTATATGTGGATTGTCAAGAAGGTTGCTTCTCCCTAGCTGTATTGACTAATTGATATTAACAATGTTAGCCTATATAGAGTTTTGATGAATAAAATGAATACAAAAAGATACTACCCAAATCATGGGTCATAAGTTTCCATTAAGAATGGACTTGGAGAACACATTAAGAAAATAGCTGTATTTTCCCCAGCTTTAAGATAGCTGTATATTATCAACTGATATAAAACTTCAAAATAGCTTTAGATCAGACCAGGTGCCTGACAATGGGTTTTAAGATAAACTATTCATAGAAAATTACAATCTCCTAGTGGACACCAGAGCTCACCATTCAGTGTTTAAAAAGTCCACTAGGTCCTCTATCAGGCAAACATATATGGATTCTAGGGGCTACAGTGACCCCATTACATCTATGAACCACAAAATAAATTGGGGACTTTGGCAGGAAGAAGTAACACACTCCTTCATGGTTATCCCTGAATGCCCCTACCTCTCTTGGAAAGAGACTTATTGACCAGGATGAAAGCCCAAATTCATTTTGCTGGGAAGTGGATAATGATCTCCCTACTGCCCGAAGTCTATACCTTGTATCTGGATCTAGAAGAATGCAGGCTTTTTCCACCAATACTTCAGAAATGTCGCCTCTCATGCTTGGAGTATAACATTCTATCCCAGGAGTATGAGCAGAGGCCAATCCACCAGAACTATCAATCTGTTCCATCTATTTTAATGTTGACATAGGAAAATGAAGATCTCAGATGTAGGTTCAAAAGGAACACTAAAATGGACTGTTTTGCGGGAGTTTATTAAAGTGTAAGACCCTCAGAATGAGGAGTCTCCCAGTTTCGGTCGGTACCCCCAAAAACTCAATGTCCAGTCCAGTTGATGCAACACACAACAGGCTTTAATGAACAGGAATCATTTGCACAAACAAGCTCTCTCAGCACACAGGCTAGAGAGAAGCCCCATCCCCCGGGGCACAGGTGTTTTTAGCTTAGGGAGGGGGTGTGACCCTCTGTTCATTGAGTATATGACCCTTTGAGGCAGGATGGTCTTGCTGTTAGGGTCAACAGACCTTAGGGCCTCAGGGTATGCTAATTAATTTTGTCTGGGCAAACCGGAGGTGCAGCTATCTCTTTGTTTTTTAAGGACCCTATTTACCACCTGTTGACTCACGGAAAGGAGGGGCAGTGTGAATTCTTGGTATCCTGCCATCACAGGGCCTTGTGAAGGGAAGTTAGCAAATTCCAGATCAGACTGTCCTTTATTTTAAGTGGAAGGGTTTCCTTAACTTTACTTTTTTGTCTTCCGAAAGTTGTTAATGGGACGGACAGACAAAAAGCATGGTGGGGACTCTGGAGAAGAACCAGACCCACATGGTAAATAAGTTCTTCTCTTACAGCTTTCTGAAGATGGGGATGGTTTTATAGGACAAGCCGAAGCCAGGCTCTCCAATTCTTAGATAGGAGACAGGGAAGAAGTGAGAAACCGAATGTCTTCTACCCTCACCCACCCAATATCACCGCCACTGAAAACTCATTTTTATGGGTAAGAAATCTGGGCACCTGAAGTCTGTTAACTAGAGAAGCACAGACAATGCCTCAGCAGGCAGCTGCTTGTGTGAGAGGAGGAATGGCTGCTGCTGTGATTGTGGCCTGAGCAACAGCTGGTCTGGATTCTAGCCTTTCATTCTTAAAAAGAGAAACTGAAAACGATGAAAGCATTAGGTCTGTCCTGTTGGCTCTAATTGTCACCTTGATACATCCTAGAGTACATGAGAGAAGAGACCACCATCCAGTAATTGCCTAGATCAGATTGGCCTGTGGGAAGGTCTTTGGGGAAGACTATCTTGATATTAGTTGATGGAGGACCCATCCCACTGTGAGCAGCACCTATCCTAGGCTGTATAATAAGCTAAGGCTAATCATGAATGTGTGAGTAAGTCAGAAAGTTTGGAAGCATTTGATCAGTGTTTTATCATAGAGCGGGGAGGGGACCATACCATGGCCTGAACTATAAACAAACCCGTTCTCCTTTATTGATTCCTGTCTATGGGATTTTGTTAAAGCACCGGACAGGGTGCTGTACAATGAGACAAGCAGTGCCAAAAACTCTGCATCCAAAAGATGCAATAAATCTTTATTCTTTTTAAGTTGGTAATGTCAGGTATCATTCCAAAGCAATGAAGAATTCATTAGTATCCAAACAAATTTATTTGAGGGAAGAAAACTATGTCTAATAAAGTATACAAACTCATAGAATAAGAGTTTATCCATTAGTTAAAAGGTGTAGATAAAAAAAAATTCTAAAAGACCCAGAAAACACACATTGATGTTTAACAGACTACAGTGAGAGCTTGTCAGAGCAAGCCCTGCGCATGGGGTGATCAGCCTGAGACAGAATGTGATGCTCTGAGAGGATCTCCTGGATCTTGTCCAGGCAAGCTTTGTTTGCTGCTATCCCTGCTTCAAACTCCTGGCGTTCCTCTTTCTTCTCTGCTTCTAGAGCCTGCTTCTGGTAAGCAATTTGCATCTGAAGTTGATTCTTATACTCCTTAGCCAAACCACAGCGCCTAAGGTTTAAAAATAACAAAGGACAACATTAAAAGTTACCATTTGTATTTATTCATAGCATTATAATTAAATATAGTGCTTCCATGAATATGTACATGTGAATTCCATTTAGAGACCGAGAAGTGGGATTGCTAGATCATGTGACAATTGGGTTTTTTTGTTTGTTTGGTTGGTTTGGTTTGGTTTTTTGTTGTTGTTGTTTTTAATATTTTAAGAAACTCCAATGCTGGAGAGATGGCTCAGAGTTTAAGAGCACTGACTGCTCTTCCAGAGGATCCAAGTTCAGTTCCCAGCAACCTCATTAGAGGTCACTACCATCTGTAACTCCAGTACCAATATCCCCTTCTGGGTCTAAGGTCACCAGATGAAACATGTGGTACTGGTAAAACATGCACACACATACAATAAAAATAAACAAATAAATATCTTTTTTAAATAAAAAAGTAAATTCCGGTTTGTTGTTCCATAATAGCTACTGATATACAACTGGGACACTATCTTAAACTGAAACTCATGGTCCTAAAAAAACGAGCATGGATATCTCTTTAAAACTCCCTTACCAGTTCATCCATAGCTCTTCAGCAGAATACCTGCTGCAGTCTCCCCTTCCTCTCTGATTCCCATCTCCAATAGGTCATGGAGACCTCCTCCTCCAACCTTCCTTCCTCCCTCTCATCCTATTGGTCCAGCCCCCCATAAAAGCAGACATTCCATGGGAACATGCTGGCCCCACCAGCTAGGGAAACAGGCAAGCTAACATCAGATCTTTGCCTCTCCCTTCCCTCTGAATCCAGCCCCTAAGTGTCATCCCCACCTCTGTATCAGAATCTGCTGCATCCCCATTCCTCTCTGTTCCCATCTCCATCGGACTACAGCGATATCTGTACCCAAAATTACAACTTCCCCAAATGCAGATGCCTATCTGCCAGCATAAAAACACAATTAATAACAGCCAAGAAAATAGGCCCCCTTAGAATACAAGAAGTACTCCAGTATGTGGGAATTAAGACCTTGGCTAAGAATTAACTTCCCCCTGCTGCCCTCAGGGCAGGTAGCTATAACCACAGAGAAAAACATGTTTACTAAGGCAAAATGTTCCTTTGGTTACAGGAATACTGGGACGGGCCCCTGAAAACGCCCTGACCATTCCTTGAAACCTGAGATGACTAACTGCCTTCTTCTGCTTCCTCTTCTCCCATCTGGTACAGGGGTATAAAAGCCAGCCCTCTGAGCAAAATAGAGAGCCTTTTAACATCAAATGAGAGTCCTGTGTTGTCAAACCTGACACCCTCTGCAGATTCTTGGTCCCAGGCTGTGCAGGCACAGCACCAGTAGGCCTTGAGAAATGCAAAATAGCTGTAGCATAAGATAGGGAACTAGCACATCCATTGCGGATATGATGGAGCACCTCTTGGAGGAAGTGAATAAATACCTTAAAGATAGCCATGAAAACACAAACAGCAGAAGAAAAATAATAAAAATGTTCAAAACTTCAAAGTGGAAATCAGTCAATAAAAAAACCCAAACTGAGGGAAATCTGGAAATGAAAAACTTAAGAACTTAGACAGGAACCACAGAGGCAAGCTTCACTAACACAGTACAAGAGATAGAAGAGAAAATCTCAGGCATTGAGGACACAATAGAAGAAATGGATACCTCAGTCAAACAAATATTAAATCTAAAATCTCCCTCCTGTTACAAAACACATATGAAATCTGGGATACTACGAAAACACCAAATCTGAGGATAGTAGGAAAAGAGGAAGGGGACAAAACACAGGTCAAAGGCAGAGGAAAACATTTTCAATAAAATAATATAAGAAATTTTTTCCTAACCTAAAAAAAGAAATGCCTATCAAGAAACATACAAAACACCAAATAGACTGGACCAGAAAAGAAAGTCCTTTGGTGTATAATAAACAAAACACTAAAAATACATGTCACAGAAAGAATATTAAAAGCTTCAATGGAAAAAGACCAACTAACATATAAAGGAAGGCCTAGTAAAAGAAACCTGACTTCTGATTAGAGTCTCTAAAAGCTAGAAGAGCCTAGACAAATGTTCTACAAATTCTAGGAGACCACAGATGACAGTCTCTGCTACTATACCCAACAAAACTTTCAATTATAATAGATAGAGAAGATAAGAATTCCATAATAAAACCAAAATTTATGAATATATATTTACCAATCAAGCTCTATACCCAGGGCTAGAAGGAAAACTCCAACCTAAAGAGGTTAAACACACCCAAGAAAACACAGAGAATTAAATAATCATAGACACACAAATCAAAATCGAATAACTACACACCACAATAACAAAATACTAGGCATCAACAAACACTGATCATTGTTATCTTTTAACATCAATTATCTCAATTCTCCAATAAAAAGACAGAGTCTAAAAGAATGATTTGAGATGAGGATCCATCCTGCTGAATCCAAGAAACACACTTTAACATCAAGGATAAACATCACCTCAGGGTAAAAAGATGGAAAAAAAAAAAAAACCAGATATTCCAAGCAAATGGACCTAAGAAGCAATTGGGTATTTGGGTGTGGCCATTTTAAGATCTGACAAAAGAATTGTAAAACCAAAACTAATCAGAAAAGATAGGGGGAGGACAGTACATACTCATCAAAGGGAAAATCCATGAAGAGGGCATTGCAATTCTTAACATCATGCATCAAATATAAGGCACCCAAGTGTTATGAGCAGTTTTCCTGCCAGCCTGATCCCAGAGCTGTGTCAGCCCCAAATCACACAAAGACGATATATTAGATATAAAGATGTTGGCCAGTTACTAAGATTTCTTATTGACTAGCTCTGTCTAAAATATTAACCCATTTCTAGCAATCTAACTGTTTCCACGTGGTCTTATCTTATTGGAGAGAGGGTCCGGACTTCTTCCAATTCCCTACATCTTGACTCTCCTCACTACTACATCTCCCAGAATCCTCCTTATCACCTAGCCTTGACTATCTTGCCTTCCTATTTGCCAACAGTGCTTTATTCATTAACCAATAAGAGAAACATATTTACAGAATGGCATCTCCCGTCATCTCCTCTTTCCTGTCTAAAATAAAAAGAACGGCTTTAACTTTAAAATAGTAAAATATATAACAAAACAGTTATCAAATAAGAACTATAGTTAACAATATTTAATCCATTAACAGCAAGATTTAAAGAAAATATTCTATCATCTAGCCTATCTTTGTGAGTCTAAAGTCTTATATGTAACTTATCTTTAATCCTAACTAAGGAAAACCATAACCATAACTAACTAAGGAAAACCATAACCATAACTAACTGTCTTTAACTCCATCAAAGACCACAGAAGGATAATATATAAACTCTAGAAATGACAGAGACAACTCGCTGCCTGGTCAGTCACCCGAAGTTCTTCTGTAATAGCCTATCTTCAGCCTATAGGCCATAGTGTGTCTGGCAGACTCCTCAGCAAAGGAGGAAACTTTAAACTGTCCACCTGTATTGACAGTTTGTCAGTCACTTTTCTCTGTGTCTTGCAGATTGTCTGGCAAACTCTTCCATGAAGCAATCCTGTAGTACTGTCCACCTTGTTTCAAGAGTCACTTTTCTGTGGATCCTGCATGTCCAGTTTATACAGCAAAAAACAGTCCAGACAAGAGCAGTATCTTGCCCAAATGGCTAGTCTTGCCATATTGAGTTTCTTTGATGTCCATCTTCCTTTTTAATGAAGGTGATATTGCCAGAAGTTGTGCCTCACTGTTAAGAAAACTCCTAAACCATTTAAAATGCCAAATTCTGTAGGTCTTTGAAAGGTTTGAAGAATGCCTATCCATTTAAAATATATCTCTGTATATCTAGAAAACCTAACTAACTTAACTATAAGTTTTGACTATTATAGGTGTACTAAATTATATTTTTTAATATATAAACACAATACCTAAACATGAGGAGAAATATACATATCACAAAATTGACCTTAAATAGTATCAATAAATGAAAATCAATTCCAAAACAAACTATAATTGTAGTGAGATATCCACCCCTCCTGCATCTGTTGCACTGACCACGCCCATTGTGGGTGGGGACAGGGACTAGGTCTGGGGTTGGGAACCCCAGAGCTCTCTCTTGCTTCTTGGATGGAGACAGAGAGCATCCTTGGGACTGGAACCTACTGGTGTTCATCTGTCTCTGTTGTAAGTTATTTCTCCCTGAATAAACATCTATTCAGCCTACCTGTTTTCTCTAAACCATATTTTTCACGATACCCAAACTCATAAAAGAAACACTACTACAGCTTAAATCATATATGAACCCTCACCCACTGATAGTGGGAGACTTTAATACCCAACTCTGGTGGAATGATGAAAAATCTATTTAGCCTTGGCCTTTTAGTATCAAAACATGGTCATAGGGCTTCTAAAAGCCTTGAGGGAACAAGAATATCTTCTTTAATTCACCAAATCAAGTCAGTTTATGGTAAAGAGGTGGATCCCTAGGTGGGTTCAAGACAGGTTTCCAGTCACCAGAAAGACTAGTTCTCGGGTACCAGAGGCAGGCTCTAAACCCACTATGTAGCTAGACATGACCTTGAACTCCTTCCTAATCCACCTTCTACTTCCACTCAAGTGCTAGAATTATAGGTGTGTACCACCACATCTGACCTGGATATCATCATCATCTTCTATTCCTCCTCCTCCTCTTCTTCTCCTCTTCTCCTTCTCCTTCCCTTTCCTCTTCTCCTTCCTCTTCCCCTTCTCCTTCCCCTTTCCCTCCTCCTCCTTCTACTATCTTGAAATTAGTGCCTGGGAAATGACTCAGTGAACTGAGTTCATATCTTTAGAACCCACAAAAGTTGGGGACAGTAGAATGCATCTGTAATTCCAGCATTCCTATTGTAACTTGCCTGCCTGTCTCTCTCGCTTGGTTATCAAACTACTAAAACAATGGACCCAAGAAAGTAAGAGTTTGACCATAGTAGAGTGCCTCCTTTGCAAAAACAGGAAAAACTGGATTTCAATTCAATCACAGCTGGCCTTTGCTGAGACAGCCTATTGCCCTAAAATAGTCTGTCTTGCTTGAACAAACAGTTCCAGGAAGATAGGACCATTGCAATCTGCATGTATGGTTATTATAGTTCCTACTTCCTCACCTGCAAGCCCATCCCCTAACCCTATAAAGAGTTCCAGTAAGCTCCAACTCCCAACCCCACCTCCGGGGAGACCCCCCATTACCTTAGGAGAGAGGCTGGCCTTGCTATGTGTACCAATAAACCCAGCTCAACTGTTGAGGTCAGACTCTGGTCTCTAGCTGGCCTTTGTCTCTTTACTCTGCACTTGGGTCAAAAATCTAACAGTGTAGGCGTATCCTGCCTGAAGCTCTGGGGACAGCAGGGGAGAAATTAGTCTCCCAGAGAAAGATACACAACTTATTGGGAAGACTTTCAGGAGAGACCTTACCTTCAGTTAAATCTGATCCTCATGTTGGGTCCCCTGAAGATGGATTTGAGGGGTTGCTGGATCTCTGTGTCCCTTCTTACAGTGTGGCCACATTCAATAAAACTCTTTTGTTTCCCTGCTTTCATCTATTAATTTGACTTTTTAAGTCTCATAGAGTCTAGGTGGCCAGACCTAGATTGTTGGGACAAAAGTTGTAACTTCAAATATGGTAACAATCACACAAGATGGGAGGTGCCTTGGTGGAGAAGAGCACTGACATGCAAGCATGAGAACTTAAGTTCAGTTCCTCACTACCCTGGTAGAAGCTGTGCATGGTCACACATGCCTGCAGTCAGCCTAGTCAAAACAGCCAGGCTCTGGCTCAATGATAAACTCTGCCTTAAGGCAATAAAGTTGGAAGGGGTAGAGGAGGACAGGCTGCTCTACTATCAGTGTTCCAGGCCTTGTGATACTGCTGCAAACACAGGTGAGATCTCCAACTACAATCAAACACACTGACAGTGATGAGTAGGTGCCTTTAGGTCTACCCCAGTCAAGCCTTCAGGTATACCCAGCCTTAGTTCAAATCTGGCTTTAATCACATGAGCTATCCTAAGCAAGAACTACTGAGTGGAGCCTTGCCAACTTTAACTGATTTAAACCACAAATCTTGGATGTTTTCAGGCAGCAACAGGAATCTACAATGCTTTCAGTTCACACTCGTTTCTTATCCCCCGGTTGACTTGATGTTGAGTAGGAAGGAATGCTATTTATGGAGACACTTTCAAATATCCAACAATAAACTTTTCAAAGTAGGAAGGAGGGACTGTCAAGATGGCTCCACAGGTAAGGAGGTTGCCACACAATCTGATGACTTGAGTGTGACCCCTACAGCCCATATGGTGAAAGCTGACTACAACAACTTGTCCTCTGACTCCCCAGGCATGCCAAGGCAAACTCACACACATACACACATGAAGATATGTGTGTGTGTGTGTGTGTGTGTGTGTGTGTGCATGTATCTCTGTGTGTAATAAGACAGGCCTATAGAGCAGATACAGCAATTAGAAGTCAATAAGGTCAGTTACATACTATTTTTATCAAACTGGAAAAAGACTTAGATACAAAACTATTCACTCTTAGAAAAAAGAGAACATATTTAAATGCACCAAGAACCAATAAATGAACAGAAAGCCCTCCTCCTCCCCAAAGCAAAGAGGATGACTGAATTAGAGGATACAGGCCCTCTTCTACTGCACCCCATGGAAGGTAGTGAGGAAAGCTGCAAGGAGAAGGTGGCCTGTTTTTCCACCTCAGCCTGACTGGTAATCCTAAGGGAACACAGTGATCCCAGAGAAGACAGCTGTCGGACAGTGGTGTTTCCAAAAACAAAACAGGTAAGCATTTTAATCTTGGGGACACATACAAAGAGTGCTGTGAATATAAGCCATTCCTGCTAATCTAACTAGTAACCATGCTGGGCTATGCCAGGGGTCTCCTCAATTGCTCTTCATGGTATTTACTGAGGCAGGGTCACCTGTTTAACTCAGAACTCACTAGTCTAGCTAGCTAATTTGTCCCAGGGAACTCCTATCTTTATGTCTGAGTGCTTCCAGCCTTTATGTGGGTTCCTGTGATCTGGTCCAGTCCTCAGGTTTCTGCAACAAGCACTTTATCCACTAAGCCACCTGCCCAGCCCCCCAGCCTGATAGCAAACACTGTTAAATAGAACATTCTGGGAAGTCCTCTGGTCACCAGAATCTTGGCCTTGGTCACAATATTGGGACCTTGGCTGCTTCTTCTCCCCATCTCCTGTATCTCAACCATGAGGGGATTAGCTTTCTGCACTGCTATAGGCCCAAAGAGATAGTGATAACTTAACAAAACTATGAATCAGTGAGGGGAAAAAAATCTCTCTATAAAAAGAAAAATAACTGGCCAGGTAGTGGTGATGCACACCTTTAATCACAGCACTCAGGAGGCAGAGGCAGGAGGATATCTGTGAGTCTAAGAATAGTCAGGTCTTCTGGTCTAAAAGTGAGTTCCAGGACAGTCAGAAAAACACAAAGGAACCATGTCTTGAAAATCCACCCCCCTACAGACACAAAAAGAAGGGAAGGAAGGAAGGAAGGAAGGAAGAAAGGAAGGAAGGAAGGAAGGAAAAAAGGAAAGAAGGAAGCATTTCTTCTTATGTGGGAGGTATGGAGGCTGTTATGCTCACAGGTAATCACTAGAGGAACCAGGCATGTTAAACACAGGGCTGTGTCTTTAGAGGGAGAGATCTATGCTCTTTCTTCTTCCCAGGAGTGAATGTGGCTAATAGCCTGGTGACCTTTGTGCTATCTGTGTGACCAAAACCACACTGATCCTCCCCCAGACCCTTATTGTGAACTTGTTTGTCTCAGTCAATCTATAGAATCCAACTTCATGCAAGTGTCACTTGTATGTTACAAAGAGTTTCAATGTCTTAAGCTTTATTGTGCACATGGAATTAAGTATCACCAGGGAAATTTTCACCAAATTGTGCTGTGCTTAAACATGCCTAAAACACACTACTGGTCATCAGACTCTCAAAGTTTGAACCAGAAGCACTACTAGTCTTGTTGAACTGAGCTGCCTTCTTTCCTCCTGTGGATCATTACCCTGCAGGCTGTAGTGAGCACAAACAAAACTGCCCCAGAATCCCTGTGAACAGTTTTCTTTGGGTATTTGTAACAGTAATAAAAGCTGACTCACACTTTTTTTTTTTTTGCTTTTTGCTTTTTGCTTTTTGTTTTGTTTTTTGTTTTTGTTTTGTTTTGTTTTGGTTTTTTTTTTGTTGTTGTTGTTGTTATACTTCTTGCAAATTCATGTTATTATTTAAGATGATCATCCGGTCTAATAACCAACGTGTATATTCAGACCCACGATGACAGCGTCATTTGATTTTACCAACACAGCTTGTGCCTATTTTTATATGAAATCTTATTAATAGCTCTGAGGTTCTAGAAGGACCAGCACAGCATTAATACAGGATGGTATCGGTAATGTATGGATTAATTGTAGTGAGATATTCACCTTGTCCGTACCTGTGACATAGACCATGCCCATTGGGGGTGGAGAAAGGGCTATAATCCCTAAGAATTGAACATTTACCTCTTGTAGGGGGCCATCATGAAGGCCAAGATTTATTAGTTATGATAGTTACATCAGCCCCTGTGTTAACAATATCTCCAAACCATCTGTTACTCATTTTAACTATCAATCTAGGCCTATGACTGTTTGTAGAGGTTTGCCAAACTATACTGTTTTTTTTTTTTCCTTCTTTCAAGTTTGATTCAACTTCCATCACTAGTTTGTCATCCAGAGCAGTATGAGTTTTTACAATAGGCACTGGATTTTCTAATTGTCCTGTAGGAAACTGTCCTCCACTGTGACTGGGAATGTCCAGACCACCTTTGACATGGGGTCTTCGAGAGGCCCCCCAAGGAGTTTCCTGATTGTAAATGGTTTCCTTGCTTGTCTCTAGTTGATCTACATTCATTGGTCCAGTGTCAGCCTTTACCACACCTTCTACATAACCCAGAAGGATGAGGCCTTCTGTTCAATTCATTCCTGGGAGTGTTATTTCTAGAAATTATTTGCCTACAATTTTTGAGATGTCCTATCCTACCACAATTAAAACATCTGACATTTTGATATCTTTTCAAACATTTGGAGATGGCTTCTCCTACCCAAGCTTCTATGTCACCATAGTTAAGACATCTGTTATCTTGATGTCTTCTCAGACCTTTAGATATGGCTTCTCCTACACAAGCTTCAGTGTCAAATTTGTGTTATTATTCAAGATGCTCATCCAATCTAATAACCAACATGTATATTAAGATCCACGATGACAGTGGCATTTGATTTTACCAACACAGCTTGTGCCTATTTTTATATGAAATCTTATTAGTAGCTCTGAGGTTCTAGAAGGACCAGTGCAGCATTAATACAGGATGGTATCGGTAATATACGGATTAATGGTACATTATCCTTATGCTAAAGATACATTTTTCTTCATAAGAAACAGTAATAAAGAGAATAAAATCATACCTGGCATAATTCTCCCTCTCTTCACAGTTGAGCTCTTTCAGACCTTGACTTATTCGTTCTTGTTCCATAGCAAGTTCTTCCTGTTCTCTAAGTTTTCGTTGTACTAAGAAAGGTGAGAGAAATTACTTGACAAAAAAAAAAAAATCCAAATAAGACTGGCTGATGTCATTCTGGGCACTAAAGCCATGTTGCCTTTAGAATTGCTTGCATGGATGCTGGATTAAGAATGGAGAAGTGAGATGGTTTGGTGGGTAAAGGTTGCTAAGCCTGAAGACCTGAGTTTGATCCCTGGGACTGAAACATGATGAGATGAGAAAACCGACTCCAAAAAGTTGTCCTCTGACCCCCACGTGTGCCATGGTACATGAGTTTGTGCACACACATACACATGTAAATAAATAAACAAATAAGATTAAAATAATTTTTTATAACTAAAGGGAAAGAGAAGTACCAGCCAGGCATGCAGTTGTGCTCCAGTAGTCCCAGGTACTTGGAAAACTGATGGGACTCTCATGAAACCTAAAGGCTTCTGTGTAGAAAAGTAAACTGCTAATTGAGTGAAGGTACATGTTCAAAGGAAAGAAAAAATATTTTCTAGCTACATGTAACAGGGCCCCCGGTCTTAACACAACTAAGTCAAAGATAGAAGTACCATTTAGGCCATAAAACTCAGCACACATATAGCACTCACTAGACAAAAAAGAAAATGAAGAACTAAATAAATCATTAAAGCCCATCATTCTTGGAAAGTCTCCAAACATACTGACCTTGCTTTTCTGCTTCTGTAGCTCTACATCTGACTATCTGTTCTTGTTAACCCAAGTATGTCAACCCATGATATGGTCTTTGTGCTTAAAAGCTCACCCTGAGAAAGGCTTGGGGCTACAGTGAGATCCTGATATACCCAATGTAGTCACCAGTCAGCTACTAGAGACTTTCTATTGGCTTAAAACCATTATGTGCATACCCCATAGTTCTATAGGTTTCACTGAGATCCCAGAGACCAGACTTTGAAACACTGGGGTCTCAGAACCCCTTGGAACAGGAAGAGTGTGGTGGTCAAGGGGCTTCTTGGGAGTTCACCACCTGAGATGTCCCAGGTCCCCATGATGACCTTTGATCAATCACTGCCTAACACTTTGGGGAAGTCTGAGACCTCCACCCCAAAAGGAAATGAGATAGACAGTTGTCCGGTCTGCCACTTCCAGAGGTAATGTGAGGGCTAAAGTTATGTTTTCACTCTAATTTACTGTGCTTTAAGAGAGCTGTAAAAGAATACCTCTAACCTGTGAGCCCCACTTTGCCCAAGGACAGATAATTTCCTGAAATGCTAGGAGCTGTTGCTCATATAAGACAACAAGCCACATGTTTTTGCTTCTGTAAACAAGTATGGTTACCCCAAATGCACAGGATGTGCTTGATTGTACATAAGGAAGTACATAGACAGAAGTATGTCAGGATGCATGCTTTCCCTTATTGGATGAAAGGTGGGAAGTTTGTAGCCCTGTGGGTTTTGGCTTTGCAAGCCTCTGACTAATTTAATTTGGTGCCATACTCTGGGAGTCCTGGGTATGGACCTGGCCAGTGTCCATCATCCTGGCCAGTATTTAATAAAGCTTGCTTCAAATTTGGCTCAAAATTTGTGGCAATGGTCTTATTCTCATCCCATGAAATTAACAGTAAGCCTTGTTAAGGCACCTCCTGTTAGGACACATAGGAGAGGTTGAGCAATGATATTCAGCAAGTATCCAGAATCTGTGTGAAATGTCACCAGATTCCCCTGTTTGTTTCAAATATGTGGTGGCCACCTCTGTGTGTGTGTGTGTGTGTGTGTGTGTGTGTGTGTGTGTGTGTGTGTGTGTTTCTATGTGTTTCTGTCAGTTCTGTATCCCAGTATTGACCAATGGCTTCCTCTGGTGTGAGATACCCTCCTCCATGGTATTGTCTGTACCCCTTCCTGTTGGGGACCTGAATCCTTTTGACTTTGCCAGGTTGACCAGAAAAATTATCAAAACAAAAAATAAAAAACAAAAACAAAACAAAAACCTCCACTTGTCTCATTCCCAGCTTGCTTGTTTTATCCCCTGACTCCCATTTCTGGTTCAGAAAGATCCCTGTGTAGAGGACTGTAGAAGCTGGGCCCCTTGACATCTAAACAGAATGCACACTTGAGGCCTGTGCCATGAGAGAGAGCCCATGTCTGATACTGCATGGATGGCCAGGAACTGGAATCTGGATGAGTTAGAGACCTAGTGTAGAACCAAGAAGACTGACCAAAAACAAGTCAATGAAATGATTCCTAATGATATTCTGCCTATTTCAATCACCATCAGAAAGGCTTCCTCTGGCAGCTGATGGGAACAGATACAGAGACCCACAGCCAAATAAATATTAGGCAGAGCTGGGAGAACTCTGCGGAAGATATGGATGAAGAAAGGTAGGAGTCAGAGATATCAAGGACCAGAAGAACATGAGTCACAGCATCAACTAAGCAGGGCTAACAGGGGCTCACAGAGACTGAAGCGGCAAACATGGTGCCTTCATGGGTTTGTGCTAGGTCTTCTGCATACATGCTGTGGTTTTAGATTGGGGTTTTGTGTGATTCCAAACAATGGGAGTAGGAGTGTCTTTTTTTCTACTCTTGGGACCCTTTTCTTCCTACTTGGTTGCCTCATCAAGCATTGATATGAGGGATTGTGCCTAGTCTCGATACATCTTGTTCACCGGGTACAGGGGGATCTGGTCCGCCATGGTCGCGCCAGCCCCGCCGGCCACACTCCGCTCCGCATCTCCTCCCCGCCGGGTCCTGTCGCTGCCAGCCAGGGCCGAGCCCCGCCCCCCGGCTTGTTATGCCATGTTCAGGTGGTATCACAGGGAGGCCTGCTCTTTTCTGAAGGGAAAAGGAGAAGCAGTAGATCTTGGGGAGAGGGGTAAATGTGAGGTGGGGGGGGGAGAACTGGGAGGAGTTGAGGGAGGGGAGGACTTGGTCAAGATATATTGTATGAGAAAAGAATAAAAAGAGAAAAAAATGCTGCACCTGCACGACCAGAGTGCCGAGTTGACAGAGGGTGTCAGGATTGAAGCACTTAACAGACCACCATGAGAAGTGAAGACAAAGCTGCTGCTTATTACATGAGTAATGGGCTTACATACCCAAGCCAGGGGATGGGCTAAGCATAGGAGGAAGTCATGCACCACCCACACCTGGGGTCAAGGTACCTGTACTGTGTACCAAAAAGTTCTGAGAACAACCTTGTTTGCTCAACCTTGAGAGCATGGAAGTTCTACATCTGGGTGGGGAGGAAGAGAGCTGTAATGGACAAGTACTTAAATTTCCCAACAACAAAACAAACAAAAATACCTCCCCCACTGTCTCCCAGGTTCAGAAACCAGGAGTTGGCAGAAATCTTCAACCATTCATTTCCCAAGTCACTACAGGCCCTCTAGTCATCTATAAAGTCTTTTCATTAGACTATTTGAGAGACCCAACTGACCTTTAAGTCCACCACAGTTTCCCCTTGTTTGAGTCCAGTGATACTGTCTGGGTCAAGCAGGTAGCCAAGGGGATGCTAGAACTAACTTGGAAAGGACCCTACAGGGTGATTCTCTCCAGTCCTATAACCATGAAAGCAGCTGAAATTACACCATAGACCCACCATACCCAGGTCAACAAAGAGGAAGCCACAGAAGAGGATGCCAAATGAACTGTTTCAGGATGAGGTTTTATTGGCCCCAGGTACCTCCACTCCCTAGTACTCTACTTCCTCCTGAGTCCTGTGTTTCGTATAAACACAGGATGTTGTCCAACATCAACTAGTGTGACTATAGACCAGTAACCCATATTCATCTTGGCCTTGCTCACTAATACCCACTTTAAATGCCTGATTGTACTGAAAAAATGGGGGGATATAATAATTTATCTTCTCAGGTAAAATTACAGGGTTTACAATTCTACGCATGTCCTTTGGCTGGGCCTCTTAGTTGCCAAGAACAAGGGAGTTTCCTTTGCAAAAATCGGGGTACTTAAACTTAAGGGGGAAATACTTAAAAACAAATCCGGCATTTGGGAAACAGGGAGAACCTGAGGATCCGACTTCATCTGTGTCAAGGACTGACCAACTCTCTCCTAAAAGCACTTGACACACCCAGAGCCAGAGTTTCATCTCTCACTGCCCAGGAAGCCGAGAGACACCCCATCCCTATTATCTACTCTTGACATGGTCCATTGCTTAGTTAATCATCCTCAGCCAGAAATCATCCAGGATTGCTGGTTATACTTAACCCCCAACCCCCTTACTACATAGGGATAGGAACTAACCAGACTGTCAGCTCCTTGACTTACAAAATTCACTGTGACTGGGAACAGTTCAAATTAACATTAGAGGACTTACAAAAGGCTAGAACTTGCATAATATCCAAATCTAATCTAGGCAAGTCTTTTATTCTGATGCCTGCTATTCTGCCTTGTGGGTTAATTCATATGGACAAAACAATATAACTGAGCCCGTGAGAGCACTGCTGGTCATGTACTAATGGCTTTACTAAATGTGCCTCTTCTAATGCTTTCCAAACTGGAAAAACCTTTCTATGCCTCTTAGTACACACTCTGCCACAGGTATACATATAATGGGGAAGAAGAGAAAATAAATTTTAATATGGACCCAGAATGTGTGTGTGTGTGTATGTGTGTGTGTGAGAGAGAGAGAGAGAGAGAGAGAGAGAGAGAGAGAGAGAGAGAGAACTGTTCCTCTTGTTCTGGTCAAAACAGGCGTTAGTATTCAGGCATCTGTACTGGTCTTCCTTTGGAGTTCTGACAGGATACACCCTCAGCTGCAGCCACTAAGAGCACCACCTGTGCACATTCACTACATTCTGGTTTAAAAGGGCCCTGCCCACCTCCCATTTCTCTCTCTCTCTCTCTCTCTCTCTCTCTCTCTCTCTCTCTCTCTCTCTCTCTCTCTCCTCCCCTCCCCCCCCCCCCCCCCCCCTCCCCCCCCCCCCTGCCTCTCCTGTCCCCAGAGACCAGTCTTCCTTCTTCCCTCCCCCACTTTTCCCATTAACTTTCCCCTAATGGAAAAAAAGGCCTCCATCCAAGCTCTGTCA